ATTGAAAAGATTAACATATCGCATTGAGAAATTTATTCTAATATAAATAATAAACTGCCATTGCAGATATAATGTAGACAGTCTTATAAAAAATACATTGTTAATTGCAACATGAATTATTGTTGAATTTATAATAATTAAATATTTCAATGTATTAGAGAGATTGAATTGTGTCTTAAGAATGTTAAAAGAATGAAACAATAATATATAAATATCACGTTAATAGATTAGCAATAATTTCTTAAATGAAATTTCTTAACCTTATTTCGTCTTTTTTCAGCAACTACAATGCTAAAATCAAATAAAAATTTGGAATGATTCCATTCATAATTCATGATTATAAAGACCGAATTTTCATGCTTTTTGATATTCTTTTGCAAATATTATATAATTTCGAAAATTAGATAATCAGAAGTTGTACGTATTTTGTTACATATATACTATATAATCACTAACAATCATATATTTGTGCTATTTGTATGTATAGCAACAATTTCCAATGTAACATCTTAAATGATTATATCCTTAACAGAAGATATCCTGTATTTTAATTTTTTCTCTAAGTCTCTTCCCGCCTTGTGTAGAGAAAATTTAATAAATTTGCTTTTATATTTTCTTCTATTTTCATCTTCATTTTTGTTTATTTTCTTTTTATCACTTCCTCAAATTGCTTTTCTTTAATTGATTTTCAGCTTATTTGCAATTCTGATTTATAAACATCCTCTTCATTTTCAGGTTATTTATTCAAATATACAATTTATGTGAGTGTGGTACGTCACGTTTCTGTCTTCTCCGATTCATTTTCATCTAATAATTGTTTAAATTCTGATTCTGCGACTTCAGGTGTTTCGCCTGGCCTTTCGACTACTTCTATATCTGAATCTGAAGGAAAACAAAGAAGTACAAAAATACCTTTATTTATGTCTTTTTTGTAAACGCCAAGGTGAAATTCTTTTGAGAATAAATATAATAATATAAAACAAATGAAATATATTCCTATGTGCAGACAAAGAGAGAGATATATACCTGTATCCGATTGTGTGCATGCTTCCGATTCATTATTTTTTACTGGTTCTTCTTCTGTGTTGCAGGGTAGTTCAGGCGTGTTCGGAGTTGTAATAAAGCTACTATTATCGGTATCCAATTTCGGGGCAGATGGTTTCTGTTTCCTTGCAGGATTCAAAAAACCACAATAACAACATCGGTATCCTGTAGATAAGATTTTATTGAAATAAATCTCCGAGAGGAGTTCTCTCTCCTAAAGAGAAGGATTTTACTCACCAAAATATTCAAATTCTTCTTTTAGAGCCATTCCGTTGTGTGAATCGCATTGTCGGCATACCAGTGCATAGCGATTTGCAGGGCCATCACCTACCAAGTAATCGACCAACCGATCAATCATAGTTCTCTGTTGTGGCAACACAGGTCGTGGTAAAGGTGATCCTAAAATCATATGTACGATCTCTAATTACATACAATATATATATGAATTTATACTAAAATATGAAGTTACCGAAACATATTTTAGAATATAAAATGGCAATATTTCAGAGAATTAATATAAATCTCATATCTACTTACGATAGCCTATAGGTGTAACAGGACTTATTCTAGCATTAATCTGGTAAGGAGTATTTGAAGGTTGTTTAGATAGCCCACCGCTTGGTGATGCAATACCAGGCGCACCGATCTGTGCACTTTGCAGTTGATTTTGCGGTTGATTTTGCGTGGATAAAATTCTTCTTCTTAGATCAGCAGAAACTGGTAAAGGAGTAACTGCAATTTGTGGGACAGGATGCCGAGGTGTGTCAGATGGTACAGACAACTTTGGAGCGAGCTGGAAATGAAACCATTAATTTTTGCAATTTTTATGTTCGGCAATATAATATGCATGTATTTGAAAGTAATTATGTGCTCAATATGCATTGTTTTCACAATTATGTCTTGCAATATTCGTCCTTCATTTGTATTTTATTTTGACACACGCTCACAAACTTTGAAATACAAACCTTTGGAGATAACTGTAAAAAAATAAAAAGTATAATGTGAGTAGAAAATTATATTTACAAGTATTTAAATGTAAAAAGTTCCTGGCACGTAAATATATTTAAAAATGACCGTAGAAATATATGTGTGCACTTACAGGTGACATGTTTAATTCATCGGGTGCAAATTTTAATAATATCTCTTTAGCTTTCTTATACGTTTCTGTTTCAGTAACTTCATTCAATATTTTCTTTTTCTCCCCTACAATTGTAGACAATTTTTCTCGATTGTGAGTAATTTTACGATTATAATACCATGAAACCATTTTTTTCGTTAACAGTATCCTAAAAAAGAAGTATTCAATATCATCATATTTCTTATAGAGATACTTTTATATTGCACAACTT